ATATGTGGTGGTCTTCCAAACAATGTGGGTTTTAACCGATCACCCATTTTCCTTTAAAAAAAAAATACATCACAGCATTTAGTGCAATGGAGATGATGATTATGGCAGTGCATTTGGTGAATTCTGGTGCGGATGGATGCCTTTATCCCATCAGATTGGGAAAGGGGAAGATGGAAAGGCGCTGTCCCGCAAGCGCTTCATGTCTGAGGACTGTGATTTACACCATCTGGGTGCTACGCGGGAAAGGAGACCTGACGTGATTCCATCTGTATGCAGGCATGAGCTCTGGAATCTTGTCCCACCGTTCCTTCCTCGTCCGCTCTCACTTCCCTCATTTCTCTTTCTCGCTCCTCAGCTGAACAGAAGACACACATTCAGTGAGGAATGTTTAGCATTCCTAGCACTAAGTGGTCACACCAGAAAACACAGCGCCTGCAGTTAATGACAAATATGAACGCTGTTTCCATCCTAAGGTAGCTCCATGTTTGTCCCCAACACAACTAAATCACAGTCTTAAAGGGTTAGTTCACCCAAAAAAATGAAAATTCTGTCATCAATTTCTCACTTTCATGTCGTTCCCTTCAGAACACATATGAAGAGCTTTCTGTCCTTCCATAGACAGCCTATGCAATTGCAACTTTGACAGTTAAAAAATTTCATAAAGTGATCAGGAAAAATGTATCCATATGAATTGAGTGCTTTAAGTCCAAATTTTCTGAAAACATACACTTTTTCAGATGAACAGATTTAATTTACTGTAAGCTTTAACTCGCATAAACATTTATCAGCGGACATAAGCAGAAGCAGAAGAGCAGAAGAACAAACATCTTCCAGAAGCTCAAATGTGCTGCGTAACCAATGAGGTTCGTTCTCGTGTGTTAAATTTCACGGAAATATTTTACAGTGTTGTTGGTAACACTTTTGTGATGGAAATCATGAGGTGGGAGGAAAAACAATACTTCAGTGCTTTTTAAATATTTTTTCCTCCCATTTCATATTTGTTCCATGATGATCATGTCTCCTTAGGGTCTCCATAGGTTTGAAATTAAATGAAAATGAGTAAATGATTACAGAATGCTCATTTTTTGGATAAACTAACCTTTTTTCTAACAAAACTGGAGGCTAGGCTACAGAGGCAAAAGATTACACAACTACACGGGAATTACCAGATCCTTTACACAATGCAAACTCTTGTATGCACTGTGGGAAGCAAAATGGATGAATACATTCAGTAAACTTAGCTAGTTGACATGCAATATTTTTGAGGTCGTACAAATTGGATTATCAAGAGTCAAGCCATATGGAAAAGGAAATAAGACCAATATTAACCAGTAATAGAATCTGGAGTATGGCTTTGAAAATCCCTTTCCTCTACATTTCCTTGCCATTTTCTGGGTCTGACAATATTCAAATCTTAAGAAAGGATTAATTACGCCCAGGACACACTTTCTAGGCCAGATTTGATGCAGTGGAGAACCAATATTCCTCAGTCTAAATGGGTTTTATTTATCACTGGTGCATAATGTACATGCGAGTGTCAGTATTAAAGTTGGTGGTCAGGATAAATTGGATCATTTGATTGTTGCATGCCAATTAAACATTTCCCCGGTAGACTGCCGGCACTCATTTAAATGACATCCAAGGTTAAGAATTTCCCACACTTCTAATAAAGGAACAAAATGATGCGTCAACTGCTAAATGGAACAGCATTTTATATTTTGCACAATACATGTTACAAAGTCATAGTTTCTTCCTTCAGTTACAAAGTCATTAATGGTCTCATTCTAAATAAAGGGTAATTTTCTGCTCATTACATAAGAGCCACTTGGTTCAAGGTTGTGAAACTGCATATTGTTTCTCTGGGGTGACAGAGAGGGGTGTGTATTCAAATGTGTTTTGGGGGTTGTTAACATGTTACACAACAGAAACTGTCAAGTCTGACAATCTCTATCCACCCTCCACAGAGCTGACAATTGATTCAAACGGTTTTGTTGTGACACTAAATGTGACACTAACTACAAATAATAATCATTAAGCAAAAAACATATCATGGATCGTGCTCCCAAAAGCAACCTTTTTGAGAAAGAAAAACAGCCTGGTCAAACTGGGGTGGAGCCTGGATAACTTATATTAGCCTCACAGCAAAAGAGTTCTAGATTATTAACATGAAACACATCTAATACACAACGTTGCAAGACTTGTTTTGACAAAATATAATATTTCAAATGGATATCCACTTACTAGCAGCAGCTATCATTTATTGATCACAACAAACTGCCACGTTTTCCCACACTAAAACACACAGAACTTGACAAATGTGCTTCATGTTCTGTTGAAACCTGAACATCATGGTGCTTTGGGATTACCATGAATTAAAAAACGTCAAAAGTGCTTTCACAAGTAATTAAATATGGCTGGAGTGGAAACATCCCTGTTCTTTGCACTTTTAGCAATATTGAAAATAGTGTTGTTCTGAAAAATACCGATATATTGACCGCTCATTCATCGGACAATATTTTCAATATATATTTCAATTTCTTTTTTGGAGAAATCTGATCATTTTACAAATGCTGGCTATCTCAAGTAAAATATGCAATTTAAATTAAAGTATTTATTTAAATTCCCCAAATGTGAATCTCATTTGCTGTCAGTAAATGATTAGATATCAGTCAATCACTACTCTCAATTCTCATTAAAAAACATATGCTCTCAAATGAGCCAGATATTTTTTTTATTAGATAAGTAGACATATAAATGAACTATGATGGAAACACGTTTACAGAATAAATGCCTTGATGCACAACAACAAAAAACTGACGTAACTTTACCACAACAGTGGATGTGATTGGATAACTGGCAGAACAGATGGGATGAAAACGGGGCTTTATTCACAAACATTTTATGCGATATTCCAGTTTTGCTCATAAATTAAATTCACAGTTTTGGATGGAAACATAGCTATTGCAATCTATGAATCTTAAGGTTTCAAGCGCATAAAAGACTGATTCTCAGGTGATCAAAGGGAGACTATAAAGAAAGAGGACCAAACAGTGTAGACAGTTGGGGGGTGTAAAACGGAAGGCCGGGGGAAACTGAGCGACCACTAAAGAAAAGAGAGATTAGAAGATGCTCTTCAAAAGTCCTGACAGGGCAAAACTCAACAGAGCAGACCTCGTCAGACTGAAAACGCCTCAGCTCCCATTCAGGGCATGCCTTTAACATTGACAACTTAAATTTACTTTGTATTTTCTCTCAAACAATAGAATAATGGGCTCCTAAGTGTGCACTAGCATGCAATGTGTCTTTAGTATAAAATGAAAGGGGATTTATCAACTAAAGACACAAACAGAGCACTCTTATAAAGGGTGAAATAGAAAGTTAATGAGTAACAGTCAACAGTGAATGAAGTCCTAAATGCAAAGGACTTAAACACAAAAGACGCTTTTTGTTCAGGTTCTAAAGAGAAAGAAACTCAAGCTCACTTTATGACAAAATGTTCTGTTCAAAATGTACATTTTCGCAAGTGACTATCAGGACATTGAGTGTTTTAACCTAGTCTCTCAAGAGGCATGATTGATCCTCATGGTCACTAGTAATGACTCATCAGCAATAACAGGATGACCAAGTCCAATTACTTCTGCATGACTTTTAGAAAACATATTCATCACGAACCATACAACTGCAGAGGATTGGAAAAGATGGATTAAAATCCAGTATATCTGCAAAGATTAACTGAATTCACCAAAAACAGAAAAGAAAATCAGATCTGAGGTAGGCTTTAGTTTTACCCAAACCAATGCTCAATTAAAAGCCAAAAAGCAAGCAACCCTTCACGTTACATAAACTACCTCAATTAAAAGCAGCAGTCAAACATCAACACCTAAAGATGTCCATCTTCTTAAAAGCTCCATTAAATGACTGTATTTGAACTGAAAAATAGATGAACTGTCATGTTACAGTAACGTTATGCTTATCCAGACATGCATAATTGCAGGGTGTATCTTAATGGCTGAGCTGTTACCAGGGAGAGTAGGCTATCATCCAAAATCACTGTGGTTCTAACTTCTATTTATTTGGTAGCTATGGCGTCAGTGGTTGGATGACTTAGTCGACGGATTTATTAGAAATCACATGTAAATGATCAGCAGCTTTTGAAGTGTTTGATGACGAATCTATCATTGTGATCAACTGGAAATCCTCACGTTAAAGAACTCATGAGTGACGTCACAGAAAGAAGCCGGTGCTCAATAATCAATCGTCAAAATAATCCATGACACCCGCAGATAATAACAGCATAGCTCATAAATAGTGTTGTGTGAAAAACTTTGAGAATGTCAGATATCCGATTCGTTGTCCAATCCGCCATAGATTGTCAATTTCCTGCGTGAATATCTCATCACTGTAAAACGTCACATTTGCCACCATAAAAACGTCATGCATTGGATAAAAAAAAGAAATTATAGTAAGCTGAAAAGTATTAAATAAAATACAATGTTTTTATATAAATAATTATCTGTCTATTTTTTAATAAACGCATTTAAGACATATAGTAAATGTAAAATAATAATAATAATATGTTACCAGTGTAGAACAACTCTGCAATGCTTCTTTAAGACATTTCCTGTCCGGTGTTTAACATTTAGAAAATGTTTTTAAGATGTCTTATTTAGAATGTAGCCTATGTAGAAATTATTTTTTTTTAGATGTTTGTAATGTTACACTGCGGATGCTTTCCAGATGAACCGCTCTTTAAAATACATATTTGAGACGTAACTTACGTGTGCTATCTCTGTGAGAATTGCAGTATTCATAGTTATTATTATTTCATTGTAATAAACTTTGAAATGTGTAATTGCATCTGAGGTCAACGCTTACCTAGCAGTTTTCGTATTGTTCCAAGGCTATCTTTTAAACGGATATTATCGGTGGAAGGTAAAAGCAAGGCAGCAGTCCCATGCATCTCGAGGAGAAATACAGATTAAACATAAACGCCGACTTACGAGTTCCTGGTGGTGTCAACTGATTTATCCCCGGTTGTGAGTCAAGATGGTTGAATTCCATGTTTTTCGATAAATCATGTGGATTTCTCTATCTAAAATGTATTAATTCCTTCCGTGAGACAGGGAGAAACTTTCTTCAATCGCCGGATTTCCACAGGCACACGAAACCGATCTCTGTTTCTGCTCAGCGAATAAAAAAATCCCCAAAACAATAAACTGGAGTGGATTTGTATAATATTGTGGATACGATGGACGCGCGTAGAGCCCGTGTTAAAGTCCAGTCATAAAACCGTACATTTGTCACGGCCTCATGGAGCGGTGAGATTCAATAAACTTTTTAACACACAGCGGACGCCTGTGTGCTCCCTCTGCCGCTCTGAAGGTGATGGCATGCGGCTCATTGTGAGAGCTGAAGACCGTCCCAACTCGGCCTCCAGTGTGGAATGTACCACATTATACTTAGGGGTGGATGTAGAATTAAAGTAATCCCTAATTACTCGCGATGGTTTGTTAATACGATTTTGAAATATTAAATCAAATTAGAACAAGCAAGATATAAATAATGTTGTGTTTTTTTTACGTTTACAAGCTCGCACATTTTTAATACTGTTACCTATTTTACCTGTCCAACCTGTTTCATGTCAAAAGGTTTCGTCTGCCTGCGTCTCCAAAATGTTCAAACTGCCTAGTGTGACTCAATGGACTGAACCAATAATTTCATCATAGAATGATGCCATGACTACTAGTATTTAGATAGGTGTTTTCGCTCTATGAGCCCATATCACATATCAGTGTCTGAGACTAACCCTCCTCCAAAAAAAAAAAAAAAAAAAAAAAAAAACGTGTTTAAAAAGTAGAATCTTCATGACACACTTTTGCCATTAACACCCATAAAAAATGTTTTGAGGATTTTTGTCCATGGGTGTTAAGTTTTCTGGTCATATAGCCACTGGGGGGTCACCACATCTAGCCTATACATTTGAAATGTGCAGTCTTTCTCTCCCAGGCAACTGCCAAAAATATTGATGATTCATGGAGCACTCACTTATTTTATCCAATTAAATGCTCTCTAGGAGAACTTTACTCCACCTAATGCTACTTTGGCCTACAAAGTTGCTTATGCCCAAATAAGACTCAAAGCAGATGATAAAATGACCAGCAGGTCATAAGGTTGACTTGATGGTGTTTATTATAAGTTATTATTGGTGCTTGGATTATAGCTAACATAAAGCAAAATAGCAAATTGCACAACTTCAATTGCACAACTTCAAGTTTGTCACAATTATATTGAATTGAAACAAGCTTCTCTTTTCCATCATTGTGTGTTCTTTTCAGTTCAACATAATCTAATATTCCGAGGGACAAAACAGTGATAACAGGGGGGAAATATGTTTTGCTGAATCCATATGAATTACGAAGCTGCTAGCCACCTGTAGAGCCCAGCTGGCGTCTGCTCAAGAGAGGATAAGAGTGGACGCTATTCAGGGGAGAGGGGGTTGGTGTTGGAGTGAGATTGGGGGGTGCAAATGGCACGCTTGAGAGGGGACATCCCGTCCCCCGAAAAGACCAGTGGGACTCCTTTGTGCAGCTGTTGGCCTCTGTTAACACAAACCCCCAAGAGCCACCTGTCACTGCAACTGGAAACAGTGATTGGGGGGTATCTATCTATCTATCTATCTATCTATCTATCTATCTATCTATCTATCTATCTATCTATCTATCTATCTATCTATCTATCTATCTATCTATCTATCTATCTATCTATCTATCTATCTATCTATCTAAACAGTAATTGGGGGGGTATCTATCTATCTATCTATCTATCTATCTATCTATCTATCTATCTATCTATCCATCTATCCATCTATCCATCTATCTATCTAATGGTGAACAACCATGTTCTAGTATGGAAACCATATGATCATTTCTAGATCATACGTGATACTAATAATTACAGTATGACCAGATACAGTATGTAAACTTTTCCTGCAAAGCTTTATGTAAATATTAAAATGAGCTCAAATGAAAAGATACTAAAATTAGCTGCAAATCTGCTAATGCATTCACAAATCCCTCTATTCAATAACCCCATGTTCTTCACTTGCACTGTTTAAGCATGACACTAATGGAAAGACTCAAAAAATGAGGTTTGACAAAGCACAATAGTGCAGATTTGTTTTATTGAGGACAAATTTTGTGATTACACTTACTGTATAATGTCACTGTAAACAGCATTTCATTATATATATATAAAAAAAAATAACTTTATGCCATTCACAAAAAAAAGGCATTGTGTGAACGACCAAAGATGTGAACACGCATATTGATGTCTTTGTGGGTGTACACAAACTTAAACACATTGCAATATTTTCTGATGGCTTTGTTGAATTTGATTGCTGAATAGAGGCTGGATCGTGAGGGACATCCAACCACGGGTTCTGAGTAAGAAACAAGTCTGGTTTAACTATTCTAATTGTCAAGATATATATGAAGAGTTCAGATGCAAAAGCCTCTAAGTGCCATTTGAAATTTTCTTCTTTAATGATGATTTTTATCAAGCTGGTATATTTAAGTTCAGTGATTTCACTTAAATGGCAATGATAATTACCTATTAATTGCTATTTAAGTGAAATTACTGAACTTAAATATACAAGTTTGATAAAAATCATCGTTAAAGAAGAAAATTTCAAATGGCATTTAGAGGCTTTTGCATCTGAACTCTTCATATATATATATATATATAAAACAAGAGAAATTTTGGAACGAGAAATTTCTCAAGAAAGGCTGCATTCACAAGAAAATCCAAATGTCTACAATGCAAATTTGTCGGCATGCCTTATAAATGCCTTTTAGATTACTTTCAAATATCTAAACGTATTTTGTTTGCACAACACAATTCAGTTTGATTGCTATTTGACATCTAGCAGTTTGTTCCATTGCTTTACCATTCTTAACACCGGGCCTAAAACCGTTTTATATTCTCGGTGAGGCTCAGGTTCAACAGTGTCAGTCTCAAGAAACTTGTCTATTGTCCTAAAGAACCCAAGGGTCAGCATCTCTGCATGGCGCAGGGTCATTAGTGGCCCCTTAATAAAATCACAATAACAGGAATGCCCAGAATGCACCCAGATAGACCTTCAGTATTTGTGTTCTTGTTTTTGTTTTTTGTGAGGAACAGCCAACTTTAGAACAATGTTAGACAGAGAAGATGTCTGGGCAGTCTCATCTGTTCATTGTTTGAAACATTGTTTCTGCCAAACTGTCCTGCCTTCTAGAGTTCAAGAGGATGGGGTTAACATATCATAAATAAAACAATGTGGTTTAAAATAAATCAGATACTCTTTTTTTTATTAGAGATCATAATGCGTACCAATAAGAACTCAAGCAGTCAGCGTAATTTGTCTGAAAAAATTGTATTAAGTCAACTACAGTTGTGGTTTAATGTTGCATGACATAAGATATTGTAAGTGAGGCAATGTAAACCAATATTAAACAACACATAATTTGATTGTGTTTTGACAATATAAATAAGGTTGGGGAATTTTTTTTTTTTTTTTTTTTTTGGTAAAATGTGGGCAAAGACAACCACAAGTTGTTCCTAACAGTTAGTTTTTCAATTATACTGATAATTAGGTTTTCATAAATGTGCCTCACAAAATGTCTATAACCTGTTGGGTGAAATACTACGGTAAGCCAACATAAATATAATTTTGCAAAGTGAAACATATGCTGCTATTATTTGCTTTTAGACATTTAGAAATTCAAGTCAACCAAGAAAGTCTATACCAATTCTATTCTACAAAGGCACTTTTTTTTTTCATCTGAAATACAGTTTAATTACTGTTTCTTTGAGTGACATTATTTACACTCCTACAGTGTTTGTTATATGATTGGGGCAACATTAGATTAGTTTTTAGTTTATTATGGTTTTAGCAGATTTGATCTTAATTGTTGGAGTGAGATTGGAAACAAAAGTCCATTGTGATTATTTTTTCAGGCTGCACTGACAAACTGTCCAATCAGGCCACTTAATTTACTAAAATTAGTAGAATGGGGCAGAAGGTTCCAAGAAGCATGTTTTTTTTTAAGAAAATATTGAATAATTATTGTAATTCATATCATTGTTATTGAATAAACAAGTCCATAAATTTTATATACCTCTCAAACATCTTCACCTATCATAAATGATTAATCGAATTCTATAATGTAATTCGGATATTCTGTTATTTGATTGATTTGTCTGTCAGATTACTGATTAAATGATTAAAACATGTATTTTTTTTAAATTTGATTTAGTATTTTACATGCATTAAACCCTCAGATCTTTAGCAAATGTTTAAATTTATTTACCATAATATATTGGTTATCCTGTACATTCTAAACTGTCCATATTTTAGAATTAACAGTAAAAGATGTTCATCCCCCACACCTCACCTCCAGACCCATTTCCAAAGCCATGAATTGAACCCCCCCCTTTTTTGCTCTTCTACACCTTCATGTAACCCCCATCCCGTGCTCCACCATCCAAAGATACGCCCTTAGACCCTTTCATTACCATGACAAACATTGTACTTACCAGGAAGAAAAAGAGAGAATGAAAAAGGGACAGAGTGGGTGAATGACCTACTGTGACCCTACTGGGTCAGTTTAAAAGCTTAAATTACTCTTTAAGATGTCCTTCGCTGTTGAAATATAGCCTATTATACATTGTGAATAAAAACGTTTATCAAAAAGAATGTAGTTGTAGCCACCTAAAGTGGAGCTTTTGCAATGCAGATACAATAAATAGGCTACAGCTGTGGATCCAGTAACCTGTTTAATACTTACTTAGTGAGTTGCAAGCATATTCAAAACTTCCTGGATCTGATGTTGGATGTGCACTCTTGAAAATAAAGGTTCCAAGAGGTTTTTATTTAGCTAAGACCATAGAGGAACTGTTTTGGGTTCCCTAAACCTTTCAATAACAGTTCTTAAGATAACTTTTTTTTAAGTTGTCCAAAAGTCCAATCCCTGAACAGAATTCCCTGTTATTTATTTCATATTTGATGGATTGCATGCCAAGCCTTCACAATGAGAGTGATAAAGGGGCAGTAAAAGGAATGAGCTCAATAACATACATAGAAAAAATATGACAGGAAGGATGAAGAAATACTGTATATGGTCAGGAAAAGCAAAACATATTCAGTTAGTTTCACAACCTGGCCAAAGCACAGTGACATCTGCTCCACCTGCTGCAAAGCTCCATAGAGTCCTGGACTACAACCAGATTTCAAGGGCAAGCTATGCACTGATGGCCATTACTCTTGTCAAGTCGTTAAAAAGCAATTGACATCTACTCAATAAAAAAGTGACCAGCACAGCGAAACTGGACTAGCGTTGTTTACTGCAATGGGATTTAAATAAAATAACAGATAATGGTCTAATAACAAAAAAGGGGATCCACAAAAAGAGCAAGACAAAAGATAAATGGGATACAAGAAATGAACAATGAGAAATTATCAAATAACTACACATTTAATATAACGATAACTCAAACAATGGTAAACAAAAAACAGACATATTGAGGGCTTATGTAGACCTTATCCACAAGTTTCCTACGCCCCATGAGGCCTTGCGTCAAAAGTGGGCGCGACTTCCGGTTGGAAGTAAACAAAGCACGATTTGACATGCTTGACACTCGTTCATTCAACAGTTGACAGTCATTCAAGTTATAGCGATCCAAACTAGCTAACGATGTGGGAACACAACCTCAACGAAATTCAAAAGGGTGAAATAACAGTATCTTACCCTCCGCAGTAGTTGATTGGGAGTATTATAACATTATTAATAATCAATACTCATCAAGGCATGGTGACAGACAGTTGTGCGAGCTGACAAACAATTAAAATAAAAAATACACACTTAGTCATTGTGCTTTGGAGTTTATTCAAAATTATAAATGAATGTGCTACTTGAATACATTAACTGGCACATTTGGTATTCTGTCAACACAGGCTTTGATCCTGAGTTTAGGTGCAACATCAGTAGAGAACAGCCAAACATATGCTGATAAAAGTTTATAGAATATTAAGAATTTAAACAAATGTACACAGGAAGATTCGTCGTCTTTTGGGAGGTGATGGAAACTACAGTCGTTGGCAGGAACACTCTGATTTCGTTTTCAGCTTATGTTCAAAACAATCACGTTTAAGCCACTGAACTAGTTTAGTCCGGTTATACATACAACCGCGAACAGCACATGTTGTCCCTGAGCTCCGTAACGACATCTCTCATAAAGATTTGCGTCTTTAAATAGTAAAATAATTCTCCGAAAAACAGCTAGCCTCTTCGCTAACTAACACACAAAATACCATTGGAATGCTACTTCCGCCGCCTCACAGGAAGTTTCACCCACTTTATTTTTTACAGGAGCGCCCCTCGGAAACTTGTGGATAGCCCCGCCCCATTTCAATGCTGCGCTCGCTCGTTGTCTTTTGACTTCCGGTCTGTATTTTCACAGCGATCTTGCATAGATGAATGAACTGCTCGTAAAAAAATTCCCGTTCGACATTTGTTAAGACATCTGCTTTACAATGCTTATGATAAACATTACAATGCTCATGATAACTTTTGTTAACTCTACAATAAGTAAATCCACTTCACCAGCTTATTAGGCTACTCCTCGACAGCGATGCCATAGAGCGACCGCAAAACCGGAAGTTCAAAGACAATATTCTAAAGATGACGGCGCCCACGTTTCTCTGGAACGAAACAAGGAACAGGTGTGAAACTCAATGAGTAACCATAGCAATATGGACAGGGAACACAGGATAGCCAAACAGATCGGAACATGACCGTTACGCTGGATGAGTAAATTGGTAACGTTGCTGAAAGTCAAGAGCCAGTCTGCAGATTTTGGGCAGTCGGAGTTGAAGATTCCACAGAAAATCGGGGAGTGCAACAGTACATCGTTGTCATGTAAATGTATGGTTCCATCCAGTCAGAGAATATCAAACAGTTTTAGATCACACATTGTTTTCATTTGTCATGCATCTGCTAGCAATGTTTCAGCATGAGTTTATGTTCGGAACGAAGTTCTGGCAGTGTGTGATCATCAGTCATTTAGTTCCCAGTTTTAATCTGGAAGAATTAGAAAAACTGCACACATCCAGCAGGCAAAAAGCTCCATAAATAGACAATTTCTTGCATATTTTGGTGAGAACATTGTTCTTTTGTGATCAGATTTAATCTAAAACCTATTACAAAGTCAATATGCCTAGAGTTTCAAAATCTCTTCAGACTTAAAAGTTGTCTAGTGTATTCCAGCCTTTTACTGAAAAAAGCAGTATGCCTCATTAAAGCTACAAGCTGATGAATGACTGCTGAGGCCATTGATTAGCTCATATCCTTTTTATGAACTGGGTGTTTAGGCCCTTCATGTTCTTGCTTGATTACAGCAAAAACAAAAAAAGTGGATCACAGCCACATAAGAGAAATCTTCCCTGTGGAAAAACAATGTGATCTTCAACCTGGAGGCAAGGGTCAGAGGATGATGTAATTGCTGTTACCAAGGCAACATCAACAGAAACATAAGGAAGCACAGCTGGAATTGTTAGATCAGCTTCAGTGCATGGCATCACTTCTCCCAAAGAGGACTGTGAACCACCCACCTTCACACACATACGCTAGACACACACTTTGTATTGCCAGGAAGCGTTGAGCCACATTTCTGAGGAATGTGAATAATGACAGCGAAATTTCTCACTGAAAAAATGATGTTTCTGCTGCTTGTGTACAAGGATGTTTAGGACTGTAGGCTCATAAAATGACATATTGATATGTTCAAAAAGTATTCAAATACTCCACCTCTGCAACAGCCTATAATGTACTTAAAATGCTACAATGTGCAATTAATACAACATATTTTGGGAAATGAAACCGACCTCACACATTCAGCCATAAGCACGTGGATGCAAGCAAAACTGTAGTGTTTTAAAAGAAGCTAGATCATCTATAAAAAAACTGGCTTCATTAAAAATGCACCAAGAACAAAGTGAATTGCTAATACGCTGACTCAGACGTTTAGCAAGTGTCAGTCATTCACTGTGTGCTTCGGTTTGCATACTGTATTGTCACTGATGACAAGATCATTGCTTTAACACTTTTCATCAAGTTAAAAAAAATGTGTCACTCATTTTTCCATGTAGCTTTTATTATCTCGAATGAATTGAAGCCTTTTTGCAATAGTTGTACTTTTAAAAATATATTTGTTGAACAAGAAAGCTATTTGGATCAGTTAGTTTCCCTTCACTTGTGCATTATAAAATAAAATTACAAATAAAAAACTTTACTTCTAAGATAAATTGCTAAATTGAAGTTTAATTTTTGTCTAGATTTGCTGTCAGTATCGTTATCTTCTGTAAGCATAGTTAATATAAATAATATTTAGTATAAGAACACAATTCATAAATACAAATACAGCATTTTGGTACCCATATTCATATATACATAATATATTCAATGCCCTGCACATTCACATATGAGTGTCAGCAAGAAATTGTTAGCAGAAATATTTCACACATTATTGAGATTTTAAAAGAACAAAAATGTATAGATTTTCTTTATAACAGGTTAGATCAGAGACCTGTTAGATCATTTTATACAGTATCGCCATTCGAAAGTTTAGGGTTAAGATTTTTTAGCACACATTAAATTGATGAAGTGACAGTTAAGACATTTATGTTATAAAATATTTCTATCTAAAATAAATGCTGCTCTTTTGAAGTTTGAAAATAAAAGTCACAATTTCCACAAAAATAAGCAGCACAACTGTTTTTCCCATTGATGATAATAATAAGAAATGTTTCTTGAGCACCAAATTAGCATATTACAATGGTTTCTGAGGATCATGTTATATGACACTGAAGACTGGAGTAATGATGCTGATATTGTAAAGTATTTTAAATTGTAATAATATTTCACAATATTTCTGTTTTGTCTGTATTTTCTCATAAAAATGCAGCCTGGATGAGCATAAGGGCCTTCCTTTAAAACATTAAAAGCTCTCACGCCCCCAAACCCTTGAACAGTAGTGTATATTTTCTATACAATTATTTTCTTTCCTCTTAGTGTCAGGCACAGACGAAGTAACAGTGCGCAACATGCACAGACTCTATACACCGCAAACTCACTGAGCTCATAGTATCTAAAAGCTGGACAAGAGAGAGTTACTCATGTCTGTCAGAGAATGGTATCTTCACTGTCCTCTCTGACTGGACTAAGATGAGACTTCCTCTGCTTGGAGATGGCAGCCCACAAGCGACACAGCATCCCACCTCTGAAAAACAAATGCACAAACACAGATTTACTTCAACACTGTTTAAAGGTTTAGATTAAAGTATTCATTTCTTGAAAAAAAATAGACTTATTCAGCAAGGATGCATTAAATTGATCAAAAGTGACAGTCAAGACACTTTGAATCAATTAATCAAAGAATCTTGAAAAAAAGTGCATCTCTGCTTTCACAAAAATATTAAGCAGCACAACTGTTTTTAACATTGACATTGATAATTAGAATGATTTATGAAGGATCATGTGACACTGAAAATTGCAGTAATGATGCTGTAGATTCAGGTTTGCAATCACATTTTAAAATGTAATCATTTCACAACATTAAGGTTTTTCTGTATTTCTGATTATACAAATGGAGCCTTGGTGAGCATAAAAGACTTCTAAATCTTAGTGTACTGCATCTTAGAGAAAAATGGTACTCCTTTACAACATATGACTTTTTAATCAAAATAACATTTAACTATATGTCTCTCCTACACCTTGCCACATTTTTTCCTTTTTTGGTATTGATGTCGAAAGGACTTACTTGATGCCACAGTACTGCAGATCATCTCTGCACGCGAGGTGGAGGAGACTGTCCAATGTGAACTCATGAAAAACAAGCTTAAAGAAAACAAACAACAAGCAATCACTATTACCTTCTAAATAATATATGAATCTAGAATATCTGAAATTTATAAATATGAATTAGCAATCAAAGGGAATATATTTTTCTATATTTCCACTCACTATTTCTATGGTTTTCTCATCGACTGGAACACCTCTTAACCAGCGCACCACAGCAGAATTGTGAGCAATATGGGATGAAGGTTTATTATCTGTTGGAAAGTATAAACATAACAAACGTTGGCTGTATAAACTCGTATTTGCACTTTTGTACAGTGATGTTACAGTACTATACTATTACTGCAAAACTGTCATTAC